TGCGTCACCATTCAAATTCTCGAACGCAAGCCCTTGAACGAAGTGCCTTCAGGTAACTGATTTTGCAGGCAATCCCGTGTTGTTACCGCTATCTCATCGTACCAGGATGTTGTCTAGGTGTGAAGGCCGTTCCGCAACTCCACTTTGTCATTTTGATTAGTCATTAAGTAGTGCCCCACCCTCGAACTACATTTTCACCCTTTCTTTTTATTTTCCAAATTTGCTTTACAACAAAAACGAGGATGAAACTGAAACTGCAAAAGGCTCAAAACTGGGTCTACTTAGTTTTGATTAAGCCTTCGGCTTCACTATAGGATACTGCGACTGCAATCACCAACGCAATCACTCAATTTCCAATAAGAAGCCCACGTTATACTGATTTGTTTGGTAAAAGCTTTGCAATGCTGTTCTGTAATTTCATAGTAACAAACTAGTTTTCCACACCGAATCTCTACGAACAGTTGGAGGAGGCGACCAGCGCAACCTCTACCCTTAGCTTTTACACATACTGAGAGGCAAATTAGAGGTCAACTAGGTGGTCATTATTGAGACAAAGACGTCGAAGCATTCACCACGTTGGGCGGTGGAAACTCCGCAAGGAGCAGAAGTGCTGATTTATGAGCTCTCATTTCCTTTTCTTAAACGTTTTGGGGAAGCAGCTTAGCTATCAAGGGAAATTGGAACCTCCAATCGTGGAATTTGCCTCTATCAGGAGAACAGGTTCGAACCTTTGGAGGTATAACCTTACATGCTTTTGAGCGTAGCTTCTGGTTCAAACATAGCTAGAACTGAACCCAAAACACCTGCATGATTTACAGAAATGGTACGCCACATAGGTCATTTGGCCGATAAACGGACAAAGAACCTATTTCTCAGTTCTTCTCAACTGGTACTTCTAAAAACTTGCGGGAACACTCACTATATCGCAGTCAACGGCTCCCGATCCGAACATCACTTCAGGATTCCTTTCTAAGATTGTGGCGATTATTGATAGCAACTGAAACAAAGCTTTGACGTTCCGAAATTAAATTGTTGCATTGATGTTAAAACAATAGTGCGTCATAAGTCGTCTATTATTGAAATCGGCGCTAAAATATACTAAGCTTATCCAAAAGCCAATAATCACTTGTGTTAGCGGATTATCATAAGGCTGTGACACGTTCACTAATCACAACGGCTTCGCTGTAAATAGCCTACTACGCGGAAATCCTATCCGCAAATCAGGATCAACTGATACGATGCGAAAAACGCTTTCAGTAAATGAAGTAAAATGCGCTTATCGCTCTCACTATAAATTCTATCTCAGAATCCATTTTTAACCTGCTTAGAAAAGGGAAGAGAATAGCATCATCAAGAAGACAAGGCAGGGAGCCTAAAGAAATACCAAACCTCAACGAGAAGTTGGCGATACTCCGGGTGTGCAATACGACTGAGCATTTCCTCGATTTTGTACGCAAACGTCAACTCAAATTCCGTCATGTCGCTTAGAGTAGGTTGCTAAAAATATGAACAGAAACATGTGTGCAATTTTGACAATTTCAGTCCACGTGCTTCATAATCACACGAATATTTCCTTGTCTATCTTCTGGTACATGCTCAAACACTTGATGACCTCGTTTATCCCGCTAGGCGTCAACATTCTGCCACCGCAGGCCATCTCAAAATCCCCTCCTTATCTTTGATAGGAATGACAACAACCACAAGAATTCTGAGTTATGGGCAAAACTCTTCACATCAGACGGGACTCAAACTTCGTTTCCCAGACAGGTGCGCTACTTTTGAGATGGATCGAGTCGAATCTAGGATCAGAAATTCTTTCCATGAGTCAACAAACTCGTGGCAGCTTTAACATGACAAACGGCGAGTACAAACAGCATTTAATAATCAAAAAATTAAATCAAAAAAAGGAAAAAACGAACTTCTCGGAAATCAAGTTCCACGGAATAAACGATACAACACAACATCGCCACTTCTCGTTACATTGCACTACAATTGTAGTTTAAACGGCGCTATTTATACTTTACTGTCCACTCTTCTTGAACTGAGCGGGATTTCGAACATTTGTCATGATGAGTTTCTCTGAGGCATTGCCCCGCCAGAAACAGGGTCAAGCGAGGCGTTGAGGAAAATTTGGAAATACGACCCCCCCCCCCCCACCACCCTCCGCCGGAGGCCGAAGTCCATGAAACAACCCTCTTCAAAAGCCGAACTATGAAAAGGTTGAAAAGCTTGTTTAATTCTCCCCCAAAACTGCTCATAAAAAAGCCCTGCTACCCCACCGCCCACAAAAAAATTCGTTTAAGAAGTACAAAAGTGAAAAAGTCAAAGACGAGCAAACGAGAAACAGACCAGAAAACGACAAACTAGCCACTAAAAATGGCATACCATGACAACATCTGTTCTTTATTTATTTCCTCCACAAGACTTACCAAATTCTAGTACTACACAGATTATGGTTCTCAATTTACACGTCCCCCTTTCGCTCAAAGGAAAGCCTTGTAAAAGCCTTCGCCAGCTGTGTGTTGACTGGACTTTGGCGTTGACCGTGGAGCAGCTTATTTACTATTGAAATTTGAACAAATATTCAAATGATTATAACTTTCTTCAAATATGACGAATTTTCAATCTGAAAGCAGATTTGGAGTTTTGTGAAGAGCTTTTTCTAATCAGTATGAAATTACAAAAAGTTATAAGAAATAACAAATTTAGATTAATTAACGAGGAAAATTCGAGATGAGCACGAGTTTTTACACTTTCCGAAGCAACAACTTGCTTCATTTTCGTCAAATTCGAAAAGTTAATATGGCAGACAAAACTAGAAGATTTTCTCTACCAAATCGTTGCTAAAGCAGCTCTATACGTCCAGTATTCAAAAAATGGCCACGTTGAGGATTTTCGCAAAATTAACGAGGAAAATTTGTGATGAGTGCGAGTTTTTTTACTTCCTAAAGCCATAACTCCGTTCAAACTCATCCAATCCGAAAAGTAAATACGCCATCATAAACTAGAAGATTTGCTCTATCAAATGCTTACTAGAACTGCTCCAAACGTCCAGTATTAAAAAAACGGCTACGTTGAGGATTTTTGCACGAGTACCGCCGAAAGGTACTTTTTCGCTACATTGGCACTATTTCAACGGCTGTATATCCTTTTAAGGGCGATTATGTACTAAAGTAAGAGCAGATTTGGAATCACTGCTTTTCTCTTTCTAAGAAAAGTGATTGATTAGCGTTTCTCAACTTTAAAGGTTACATGTTTATAAATTTAACCCTGAAGAGTCCGTTAACGCAATGTTGAATGGTGTACACCTCCCTGTAAATGCGCACGGACACTTTCAGAATTCTCTCGATTGTTCCTGAATTGAGGTTGTTTGTCCAAGGAGCCGTAGTTGAAGCGCGCGCAACAACTAGACCCTTTCTCGGATGCGCCGTGTACCTCACATCCCTTCAGATTCGGGGTCTTACTTGAAAGATGAAATATCTCTTGGAAAGCGTGCGAAATTCAGATTCTTTAACTTGTGTGGTGATAAAACACTGAAGTAACTAAGAATTACCGGACGCCTCAGAATCACGAAAATTTTGTGTGGGTGAAATATCATTTTCATTGGAAATCCTCTGGCCTGGCATCGACTCATCCTTGATATTTGTCTTCCGACGGTGATGATCCCACTGCATCAAAATGGCTCGATCTCTTCCACCCAGCGGGCCAATACGACCCCCCCCCCCTGCGACGTGTCGAGGATTCCTCAACGCACGCTTGACCCTGGCGTGGAAACGAATACAACACATGTTCAGCGCGAAAATGATCGGCCCACGTCTGTAGGCGAAGTCTGCAGGCTCCCTCTCCACAAACTAATGTGTTATCCATGTTCTGCGGATCTTTTTACCTCTAACAACAAGTTTGCAGCAAATTTGGTGACCCAGGGTGTTCTGGCGCCATTTGGCGTGGGCGCCAAGTGATTGAGCGCTAAAGCAAAGATGATATTCGTGTTCTACGGGTCAAGCTACCCTGGGCAAGTTTCCAGCCAAATTCACAGTCATGGACAATTTCGATAAAAACACTGCTCAGTTCTCGAGATGGGGCAGTAAAGAGTAAACAGGGCCGTTTATACTTCAGCCTAGAGTTTGGTAAGTAGAAAGTTCATTCAAGAGTTTCGACCCTCTCGACGACTTCAAATATCTAATTATGGTCCAAAGCACCGCCACAATTCTTCTCTTTTGTGAATGAAGCACTTTTGCTACGCCAGAAAGCGACATAAACAAACCGGGAGAAGGATTGAGGGAAAGTGCACTGCATTATATCTCAACCCTTTGATCGTATGTTAAATCCGTTAGGTTTGGCATTCATACAAGGATGGAAGTTGAACTAAGAAATGAACACAAGGATTATGTTGGGAGTGGGAGCGTAGCGCTTGGACGGAAACCTACTACTCAGCCTTCTCAAAAGCGAGTCATTTGAGGTCACCCCAGGAATGCCACTCTTATGTGAGAACACTTGCTTCAACATTCAACATTTGTGGTAAGTAAATGGTCAAACAAATGAGTTGATTTACTGGTTACAATTAATTTTCCCAGAAAATCTGCGGAATACCCACTTTGTTGGCGTGCATTGTGAGGCTTCGGAAGCACTGGACTGAAACCACACTAGTTAAATAACCTTGTTTCACTAGTAATTGTTAGTTTTGAAAGACTTGCC